CCCCCCCCCCCCCCCCCCCGGAAAATCATCATCTTATGAAACCTCAAAACAACTTGCAAGCGACTGAAAGCGCTGAAGGCCTCAACAGCCCAATTGAAGCCAAGCGAAACGACCGTTTGCACAATCTCGGCATCCGTCCGGCGTCCGGGGCATGGGTTCGGCAGCCGACATGCATAAAACGCAAGTAAATCCCAAATGCAGAAAACAGCACCAATAAGCCAATAACCAATATCTTCCGGCTCCTCACCCAGCTCCTATTCTTGAAGCTATTCCACCATGGGGAGCTGCGCCCCTCTGGGGCCACGTTGGGCAACCCACAAAACGCCAAAACATCGCCTGTTGTGCTGCACATCGACATTCGAAATGTTCACGCACAAGGATCCCACTATATTCCCAAACTGCGATGTGGGTGAAACTGTTAAAAACTAAGCCTATTTCCTGCGACGTGACCACATTGCGGTCAAGAGCGCTTTCAAAAGCTTGTTCCTACCCCCTGCCCGCAAAGCTGCCAAGTGGCTCAAGTGCTTAATGAACGGGAAACGAATTCCGAGAAGTCCTGAATCAATCAACAGAGACTCGCAGGCCAAGACATGTCGCACGTACACCACGTCTGGGTCTTGCTATGTCTTGCTGCATCCTCAAGGCTAGCACAGCAATGACGCTTACGTGTTGGATCACGGCCGCAGTACACAAGCAGATAGTAGCAGCGAGCGCACCATAGCACATCAAGCAAATCTCAATTTGTTGCCATCCTGCCTCAGGATGCCTCAAGTGAGCGTGACTGGAGAAAGTGATCGCTCCTGGTAGCGGAGAGGCTCACTGCTGCCCATCGATGCCTCCGCCAAGATGGCGGAGACCACCTGTTGCCGCTCTTCACCAAGAGTAGCCGCTGCAGATCGAAGTCTAGTTGAAGCAGCTCAAGTATCGACTCTGATTTGTGCTCCATGTCAACAAACTCGAAGTGAAGCTTTCACAAGCCCGGCCAGGGGGGCATTTCAAGTTACATGGTTGGCACTCGTTCGTCGGCATGAGTGGGGGGGTTGGTCTTCTGTCTTGAAAATGCTCCGTGCTGGCCTCTGCGCTCGCATCGTGGGACGATTTGCCTTCAGATTACGATTACGCTGAGCAAGCCGCGCTCAAAGTTCCGAGGCACAGCGTTGGGGTGTAGTATGTGGGATACCTCGCCAAGGTTATCGACGCATCCTTTCATCTGCGCCCTTGCCTACAGACTTCTGACTTGACGCAAGGCTAGGTCGCTATAGATTGTCGGCAAGATTCCTCAGCACGGAAACTCAGAGGCAAAAACAGACTACACACACAGTCGCGTGTCATCGAGTTCGCAGGCGGGAAGGGTATCTGCGATCACACATCGAAGGACCTGAACAGCTCATGTCCACCCGGTGGAACACTGAGGCTGCAGCAAAACACCTGCTTGATGTCTTGGGCACTTATGCACCTGGCCAGGTTTTGCCACTCGCGACGTCTGCAGAGACTCAAGACAATCCGGCTGCAGACAGATTGCCATAAATGCGAAGACCAACACAAGCGCAGACCCTTTATTCCGAAGCTACAGCTTCCAAATTCCACTGGTGCTCATTCACAAGAAGGCTGGCCCGTCTGCATCTTGATCGAAGATCCGAAATGCTGCTCTCAGCATGCCGACCTCCACGATTGAATGCAAACGAGAAAGGACAACATGCTGGCTGCCCCCTTCTCACCATGCGGAATGAAAAAACTGTCAAGAATTCTAGAGCACGCTTTTGACACGGCGGAGTCTGTAGCGGCTATGCCTGGCACTGGTCTTGCTGCAGTGTGGCCCCCATAAAGTCGTTGAAGCCTTGCCAACATGTCCGAGATGGTTGTTTTGTAGCGGCCCTTTTCCATCAAAAATGGTACAGTGCCCCGCTTTCACCACTGAGCAGCACCGGCATTCTCGTCACATTTCTTCACTTCGCAACTACGGGAAGCCTCTGAATCTGAATGTCTCCATGCAAAGCAGGCCAATTGTGCACATCACCACCGGCCGTGGCCCGGACTGATGCTGTTGTCATCCGCCGGCCTGGAGTACAGGATCCCAACGACCTGGCAGGGGTCAGCAGTGGCGGCATGCTTGCAGCTTCCACAACCCCTTCTCAAGTTGTGCCTGACAAGCAAGCTGCAGAAGTGACAAGCATGGACATGCAAGTCTCCCAGCTGGCATCGTTCCTTTTGGCATCTTTTGGCGTCTAAGTCTCCTCATTTGCAGCAGGTTTGCGGCGTCGAAGCTCACGGTCGAGGCCGTCCGATGTATCCTGTCGACTGGAGCTTGGTCAAAACTTGGGCCAAGACTCCTTTCTGGAAAATGGGCAGATCCTTGGAGGCGAACAGCTCTGGACCTCCGACAAGGCCGACCAAACCAAAACAGAAGGTACTTTCGGCACGCAAGGGTCGTCAAAGTAGCATGACTTGCGCCGACCCTGCGAGGCATAAAGTGAACAGGAAACCGAGACACCGGCCTGTGGACCCAAGCTTTGCCATAAAAGCCCGTATGTTGGCTTGCCTCTCCAGGAGCGCGTGACTTATAACCTCGAGGGATCGGCAGTCGGGTAGTTTCGCCTGTACAAGCTCCCCCGCACGCGGCGCTTTTGGGCCAAGTTGGCATTGAGCTGCCGCACAGCTTCCTGGAAGGCTTCTGTTTCCAGGGCCGGGGGTCTGCACAGCAGGATCTTGTCAGTGCTGCAGGCCTCTAGGCTTGTTGCAGCTGTCTGTTTACAAGTCGCTACAAGAACTACAAGAACACATGTCAGCTGTGACTTCGGTGACACACAAACGCCTGCCATGAGCTTCGGGCTGCACATGGCTGCACTCGACTCACAAGATGAAGAGCATACACGTCGCATAACCTACTCTTGATGCCGACTGGCACCCCGACTTAGACTCAAGATGATTCGCCGAGGCCTCACCACATGCTTTGTTGGTGAAGATCATCCAGGACAGCGCGACTGCCTCTCAGCGAAGCACGGGGTCCACTCTAAACCGAATTGAAACGTAACGGCACCTTCTGGATTCCATCTCCGAAAACTGATGATGCGTGACTGCTGCTTCTCTTGCGGGTCCAGCGACGCTACGCTTGCAAACAAGCAGGTCACAATCATGGATAGTTGTAACTCGATAACTACTTCCAGAAAGGGCCGATCCGTCCACAAGTAAGTGGCGGGCAGCCGCGCGGCCGTGTCCGGCCTGTGGAGATTCATAGCTGGCCAAACACAGAAAAGCGTGGTACGAACACTCGCTGAAGCGTGTGCAGCTGAAGCGGGCGCGACTCAACACTGGTGACTGAGATCTCGTTGATCAACGATAGTACTGTAACTCGCGGCAAATAGTACAACAACCATCGTTTGCATCCCCAACCTTGGGCCCGGGCTTTGCAGTGGACATAAACTTTGTGTCCACGCTGTCTGAACTTATCAATGAATTCGACGGCCTGATGCAGCGAACTACCCACTCAAGCCCGGGTCTAAGGTTCGATCCTTGCCCGGTCCCTGGAAGGGGGCCTTCAGGAGGTCCTCCAACGAAGGCTCATAGTGGTCCACTGTCGGCAGGCGAAGTTGCGTGATTTGCATGCGGTCGTAGGACGCCTCGAGACAGGCCCCTGCCGAATCAATCTGCAATCCCAGGGAGAAAAACAAACACGTACACCCTCGACCGTTTCGCATGCCTGCGGTCCACAGTACTCGTCGCAGAGGTTTACAACGCCGCGAACTCCCAGCGCCTTGGGCATAACAAAGGCTTTTCCGCAGAGCGAGGTTGTACCACTGAAGTCCGTATACCTGCAGCTGCTCTGGGTGCTGCAGGATCGCCAAGGGAGCCACACCTGTGCATCCCGGCAGTTCACACGGCATCTGCGCTTTCTGCTTGCAGACCAATTGAAACCAGAAAGAAGTGAGCATCCATGGAGGGATGCACCTGACCCCTCCCTGTTTCCCCAAATCCTGCCGTGTTCGCAAATGCTTCGCAAAATGTTTTTCTTGGTATGGTCGGTGTCGCGTGCTCTCGCAATCGCCTCTGCAGCCCTTGCAGGTACCCTGCTGTTCGTCGGAAGGCAAACCAATGCAGCTTTCCGCTTGCGAGCTTTGTGGAATCAAGCTAGATCACTAGATCTCTAAGCTTTGACAATACTTCCGTTGGTTCCTGCAGGCGCTTCGGGAGTCCCGGCGCTTTTGAGCTACCTACCAAAGGGCACAGAGGGCCCTTTCAACGTCGGCACGAATTGCAATGTGAACTTGGAAAAACGATGACGCGTATTGTGGGCCGGGTAACCCAGTGACTCTCGTTCGTTGGTATGCTGGTCAACCTGTGCAGGCACTCCACCTGCCACACTAGTCTGGGTCCCTAGGCTGTGAAACGTTCACGGTCTGTTTACCTTTTGGCAAACCGCCGGTGATACAAGACAGAGCCTGCTGCTGCAGCGCCGACCGAAGTTTCAGAAGGAATGGGGATTGTCACTGCCTTCCAATTACGACGCGAGCTTTCGCCTTCACATTGCTGGTTTCCTTGCGGTTTACTCCGGAAATATCCGGCAATAGCTCGAATCGAAAGCTCCCGCCGATATCTTGCAATATCAAGTGCGTTCGCACGAGCTAAACCTCCGGTAGGGGTGGGTACGGAACCGAGAATGCTGTAGGTAAGGTGCCCTCACTGACGGCCACCAGAATCAGATGCGTGCCTCGGCTGCTGACTGACTCCTCCCGCCGTGACTCATCGAAGCCGGAAACAACACCAATTGTAGCAGAGCTGCTGTTGCCAGTCACAAGCGTCGAAGTCGATGCGGCAAAGCTTGAAGAAGCTGGAAACACTGCCAGCACCTGTAAAGGTTGTTATCAGCAAGAATCAGAAAACACACATTTGAGGTAACCCGCTCATCATAAGGAGATTCGGAACCCCACAAAAACGGGATGGTAGTGGACTTCTATCTATCTATTTGCGGCAGCCAGGGTGGGGCCTTCCCGGATGCAAAGCCAATAGCGGCAAGCCGGCCCTGAGACATAGATGTCCAAAGCACGGGCTGCGAGGCACACTGCCCCTCTGGGCACATGTACAGGCCCGTGATTTGACTCAAGGCTTCACCCACTGGCTTCAAGTTGGAGACGAAAGCCAAAGAAAAGCTTCCTGAGCTATTCGTCATTCTGCAGAGGTGGAGTTCATCGGAGGTCGCCAGGAGAACGGCCGCAACGGTAGAACTTCCCGCAAGGCTGGCCACGGCGCCAGCAATTGCACTTTGGACCCGGGGTGGGTAAGCGAGGTAGCTGCCATTCACGCTACTGGGTAAGTCCAGCAGCTCAAGCGGATCCAGCCCAGTTTGCGCAGTTTGCACTTGCGGAGCCACGGCCGTCTCTTCGACCAGATACAGCCCGCCCTGCCCCAAAATTACGTAGACGTCTGCCCAGACTCCTAGCCCTCGAGCATGATGAGGCAGCAAGACTGGTGTCCCCGCAGACCCCCAGCTTACGCTGCCAGCGCTGAAGGAGCGTAGAACAGGACCGGCTGCCATGCGCAGCATGTTTGCGTGCAGCCTCGTTCCGTCTGACACATAACATGGTTTGTCACCCCCACCCCACACAACTAGTGTCCCTTGCTGAGCCAAGCTTCACAGCAGTTGGTCGGAAAAGCGCTGGCCACGAAATAGGCAGCGGAATCCATTCCAGGCTGGATGTCTGCGACCAAGACGCCCATGGCAGCGTGATCAACGTTGATATCTTAGTGCAGCGCAGTACGAGTTTGTCATTCACTGCCCGACGTAGCAGCTAGTTGTGCCGCTGATTCTCATCGGCAGTCGAAAGGCGTCGAGTCGTACCGAACGAAATTAACTGCTAGCCACACAATGTGTTGTGATGCAGGGCTGTCACTTCCGAAACAAGCTAGAAGAGCCCTTCCAATCAAACCAAGGCCAACGGGCCCACGGGCCCGCCACGAGCCCACAGGCCCGCCCCGGGCCGGTGGGCAGGGTATTTGGTATACGTACGTACTTACCTGCGTATGTTTGTTCGTGTGAACCATGTATGTACTTACATATGTATGTATATATGTATGGTCGGTAAATCTTCATGTTCGTACGCCAGTCTCTACTGTACGTATGCATGTGAGGGTTGTTCTATATCCTTGTTCCACGCGTGCCAATTAGGATCCCTTGCGCTTCGCCGTTGCGCGTTCCTTGGGCGTGCTTGCGCGCGCGAGGTTTTTTGAAGACTAGGGTTTGTTGCAGTGGCTTGTTGACCTTTGGTGGCTTCGAGTCTACAAGCTTCAGCTGCGGGTGAAACACTGGGGCTTCAAGGCTCATCTACCCAGAACGCTGCTGACTGTCACTCTTGAGTCAACCTTAACAACAAGCCTTGAGCATAGCTTGCGCTCGCCCATGAGCGCCCTTGAGCACGATCGAAAGGGTGTGCACGTTTTAAGCGACCGAGTTTTCGCTAATCGCCCTCTTAGTATTGTCAAAAGAACCCACCAAAAAGAACCACTCATGTATTTATGTACGTATGCATGGTTTTATGTACACATATATCTGCTTTTGTATGTATGTATGTCGGTCTTAGTGTACGTATGTATGTGTCTACATGCATATCTGTGTATTTACGTACGTATTTATGAATTTATGTACGTATGTGTTTAGGTACGTTTGCATTCTGTACTAGTATGTATGTATATCCGTATGTGTCTAGGTACGTATGTATGTGTTCATGTACGTATGCATGTGTTTATGTACATATGTATGTGTTTCTGTCCGTATGTATGTATGTATGTATGTATGTATGTATGTATGTATGTACTTACGTATGTATCTATGTACGTATGTAACTCGGTATACCATCAAGTATCAAGTATCGTCCTATGTTTGTACATTCATACATACGTAGGTGCACGCATAGGTATGTACATACATATATATATATATACATACATACATGTATATATATATATATATACATACATACATACATGTATATATATATATATTAATTTTTGTGTGCATACACGCGTGTGTTGTGTGTGTGTACAAACATGTGGCCAGTTGTTTGCTATGTTTTGTAGGTAGTGGTATATTC